TGTGTTCTGCAGCACAAAATGTACCAGATAAGAACCAAATTAAAACAAAAATGTTTCTATATTGTAACCCATACGGCCATCAGGGTGTGTAAGAGCCAGCGTTCCAGAGCAGGTGACGTCACCGCCCTTCCCTGTGATAGCAGGACCACAGCCCCTGGGCTGTAGAGAGATCTCTCTTTGGCTCACTGGGCTGGGTCCCTGTTGAGTGATGTGGGAGTCCCAGGTTTGAGCCCCTGATAGTGTGGGGCTGACCTAATGCGGCAAGGGTGCCTGCCTGAACCCCTGTTGCATTACAATATTGTCCTTATAAAAAGCTTTCACAATTTAGTATCACATGATATTATCAAGAGCATGCCTTGCACCTTGGTGCACAGACTATTATTGGCACTTTCAGGTGGTTCAACGGTGTGTAGAAGCACATTCCCCATGCTGGCATTCTACTCATGCAATATCTCTGTCTAAAGACTTGTAATTACAATGTACAGGAAGACCATGTATCTGATACAAAAGGCACCCAAGCCCTTTTTTTTACTTATTTCAGACAACGACAGTGTGATTTTACGAGTGGTTTCCATCTTATGTCTCTGCCCATTTCACTCAGGTGTTCACCAAAAAGATGAAGTCAAGAACATTGCTGAGACAGAGGAAGGACAAAGCTCTGCATTAATAAAGCATTGGCATTAAAGAGTCAGACACGTTTTGGGTACTAGAAGCACTAACAAATTAACAAATCTCAAGAGTTCAATTGGAATGATGGAATGTTATTGATAAGCAATTGAGACAACGCTACCAACAGTTTGTCAAGACTGGGGTACCCATGAGCTGGAGAATTATTGATGTACTATCCATCCATAATAAGCGGGAGACAACGGTGCCAAGTAATTATAAACCAATAAATCTGACTTCTATTACATGTAAGATTATAGAAACAATCATTAGAAATAAAGTAGAGGTTCACTTATATGGAAATAAGTTTCTAAGGGGTACTTAATAGGATATAGAAAAGGTAAGCATTGCTTTGCTACAGTACCTTAGCTAGCTAGAGTTCTTTGAACAAATAACAACCTTAAGACACACACATGACAGAACATACTGTATGAAATGGTGGCTTTTGATAAAGTTCCTCATAAAATTGTAATTCTCAAATTACATGCATATTTGCATAGAGATGTGATAGAAAACAGAGAGCTCCGATAAGGGCTGATGTAATTAATGGAGTTCCATGGCCATCGGTACTAGATTCATTACTATTACTAATGTACAGGATATCAACGATCTAGATATACTGTAGTTAGTAAACTCCTCAAATATGCACACAATAACAAAATAGGAGGATACGTATCCTGTAGAGGAAGTAGAAGATGTTGTGGAGATAATTGCTGATGGTTCTTCTGAGCACCCGTATGTGGTTTGCAACATGTGTACAGTAGTGGACTGTGTTCTGGAAGTTAATACTCCACTTCACAACATTAAATGTCTGTTCTGTTGGCTTTAGACATTCATGGCATGCTTTTCTTAAAATTGACTATTTTCTTCTTTTCCATACATTTATTTTCTGGTATCAACAGCACAGATTCCCAACTTGAATCTGCCTATATCTCAATGTCCAGCTATGCCCTTCCTTTTAAAGTCAATCAGATTGACTGAGGCGCCTTTTTGAGGAAAGGCTATCTGCAGCCACAACTTCCTTCTGGCAAGTTACATGTTCTTAAAGCTAGTAATCATGTGCCTGTTGAGGAAAGGACTCTTTGAATCTCTGGGAGTGTCTGTTTATTCATGTAATGGCTCTGTAAATTTCTCCTATACAAATAAAGAACCAGGCAACACTTAATTTTCTAAAACAGCACTATCTCCCATTCATTTAATGAGAAATGTCTGTTCTACCCCCTTAAAATGAGCAGTTTAAAAATAGGAAACCTCAAATGGAGGCCCGTCTTCAGCCAAACACACAAAATGCAAGCTGTTGTGGCTCCTCCCAAGACTTTAAAGGTTTTTATTATAGTTCCCACAACAAATTCAAATGTTTGTCTGGCAAAAGAAGAGATTTGCTTGCTGTTTTTAAAAAACCAGATTGCACAGCACTTACGACAGAGTTTTGTCATTTGGATGGCGAATGATAAAATAGCTAAGTCTGGCATTTAATGTGGTCCTCGTCCTGGGACACGAAGGCATCTTCTGATGAATAAAAGCATATGGTTAAACAATATTCTTGATATCAAATTCATCATGCTAAGTTAGGAGGACTGCTCAAAATCTTTATCCTCACTTTAGTGTTACCGCCTGATTGTAGAGAGATCTCAGAAGGTGATGGGAGACCTTGAAGTTAAACCAGGTTGCTGGTCTAAGTGGTTTTTTGGGACCAGTCAGTGCTGCTTCTTCCTCCTGGACTAGAATTTCCAAATTTCCAAACCAACGCCCCAGAGTCCCCTGGTGCGACTCAGGGGAAATTGTGCTGTGGGAGGTTCTGGATGCGATGTTAAAATGTAAAGACCCAATGTCACTGTTTGGAAGAATAGTAACAACACATCTTGTGTCCTGGCTAAATCCCATTCCATTCTAAATTCCAGTTTGAAGTTTAATCCTGATGTATGAGTTTGACTGAGGAGCTACCATCTTTGGGTTTATGACTGAGCTATATGGTGTATAGCTACCATCTTTGGGTTTATGACCTCTAAATTAGCCTCCCTAAGGGTGAATTGCTACTGTATATTAGAGGGTCAACCAGGTACAGTTTATGCTGCACTTCAGTGGTGGATCAAGTGAGTTCGCAACTATACAGTATACTCACTTGTATTCTTGGATCCTTCCTGAGGAAACAAAATATACAAATATATATTATCTGATTATTCAGAATAAAATCAAAGGTAAATTGTCGGTCAATCATTCTGTTAATCAAACAGGAAAAAAAAAACCCTTTAAAATGAGAGGATGCTTTTCTGCGTCCGTGTCGTATGTAAATTAAATTAAAGTCATAAAATTTCCTGCACAGCTGCTTTTACAAAGAGCTCACTTGCCTGCAAAGCTATCGTACCGAACC